GTTTCCACCTGCCAAACAATGCTGGACAACTGGTTTTGGAGTTATTCGACAAGGCAGTAGTATGTATATGCGCATGTATTCAGATTTAGTTTAAGTTTACATTTATTCATTTGTGTATTAAAAACACTAATGTAATGTCTCAATGTGTGTGTTTGCAGATAGTGTTTCCACTTCTCTAATGGAGGTCACAGTAAGCCTGATAGACTCGAGTGTGTGTAACTCACCTAATGTTTACAATGGAGAAATCACCGAGAACATGCAGTGTGCTGGAGACCTTAGAGGAGGAAAAGACTCGTGCCAGGTTATACACACTTATTGTCGAAAGCTTGCTGTTTTGACATGAAAATACTGCCACCTTGTGTTAAAATATTATATTGTAGTTTAACCTTTTACTGTTCGTGCTTTCATTCAGTATCATATTTTCTCCTTACCTTTTTATTCTCTCTTTAGGGTGACAGTGGTGGTCCATTGGCATGTAAATCAAATGATGGTCAATGGTTTCTCACAGGCGTAACAAGTTGGGGAGAAGGCTGTGGACAGGTGAACCGTCCGGGGGTCTACAGTGATGTAGCCAAATATTTAATGTGGATATATAGCAAGATGCAGGTAAACACAAAAGCATTTTCTCTCTCTCTCTCTCTCTCTCTCTCTCTCTCTCTCTCTCTCACACACACACACACACACACACACACACACACACACACACACACACACACACACACACACACACACACACACACACAACCCTAACCTTAAACCTACAGTGTAAAAATTCTTGGTTCCACACAATTGTTTTTTTTATTGGGACAACATGAAGGAATAATATTAACTTATTTTATTCATTTATTTATGTATTTATTTATTTATTTATTTTTTTTTTAAATTTAAGTGAATTGAACAGACAACAATTAAGATATCACCCCAGAAAACTCAAGAATTGTGTTGTTTCAGCTCATTTTATAAAGGCCTTTTGAAAAATGGAAACATCAGCAATATCCAGTGGTGGAAAGAGTACTGAAACATCATACTTCAGTAAAAGTACCACTACTTCCCTAAAAATGTAGTGCAAGTAGATTAAAAGTATCTGTTATAAATAATGCTAAAAGTATGAGTAAAAAATAGCCTTTTTAAAACTACTCAAGAGTAGTGAGTAGTGAGTATTACCCTGTGAAAAGCTGATGCATTTACATGTAATTTGTAAATGTGTGTAAACGTAACAGTCTGCAGTGCATTTAGTCATTGCCCAGCAGGCACAAGACATCATAAGATGTTAATATTAGATTAGGTTCAGGTCGTGATGTCAGGTGACCAAAATTCAATAGCCAGCGTCTAAGCATAACTTTATTCTGATGTCAAATAACGACGTCAAATGACACTGATATTTGGTTGATTATAGGTTTTGTTAGAAAGTGACCAAATTCCATCGTCGAATACTGACATTTATTCATCAGGTATGGCAACCAATATCCAACATCTAATAGACATCATAGTGGTAACGTCCACACAACGTCAAGCTGTAACATTATCAGATGTTGATATTTGGTTGATTTTAGGTTGGACGTTTTCTAATTCCCATAGACAGAAAAAGTATAGTGACTGCAGGTTGAAGGAAAGTAGTGGAGTAAAAGTAACAAAACTGCACTAAAAATGTACTCAAGGGAAAGTAAAAGTACACATTTTTAAAACTACCTACCAAATTACAATTTCGGAGAAAAACTACTCAATAACAGTAATTTGAGTATTTGTGATTTATTACTTTACACTACAGGCAATGTCCTCATCATTGCCCATCTCCTTTGTATGTATAATAGTTGTGTCCTATGGCATTATACAGCGTTGTGACATGATATGTCACACCAGGCCTGTAGCCAGGGGGGCTATTTAGTATGCCATCATAAATTGTGAAAATAACCAATAGAAGAAGGCTTTAAGACGAATAAGCAATAAAACAACCAATAAAAGAAGGCTTTAATTATTTAAATGGACAAATTCTGACTGAGGAAATGAGCTAGCAAGAAATGTTATTTGCATATAAGCTACAGTTTTAACAGATTGCAATATTTTTTATGTCTTTGTTTGTTTTTTGAGATTGATGACAATTAATGAGCATTTAACAGATTAGTATTTTTTCATATTTCTAATATTTACATTACATATGAAACTGTAATAACTTGCAGTTTAAATGTACATTTGTAAATAAACATACATTTTTGTAAACAAACTTTTTTTTGTACAAAAATGTAGGAAGTATTTTTGTTGCATCAAAAAGAATGGTAATGATAACCATCCCACAAATTAATCCAGCACAAATTAGTGCTTAAAATGTCACTAAAATGCAGTATTTGAACCTTATAATTTGAGGCGAATAACTGCAAAAAGGTCCACCCCTTTTAATAGGCTGTGGCTACGGGCCTGCACACAGACTTTCACAAATGACAATTCTGCCATCAAAAATCTATTTAAGTTTCTTTCTTCTGAAACACACGCAAATATTTTGAAAAAGGCAGATAGCTAGCACTCACTGACTTCCATAGTATTTCTTCTTCTACTATGGAAGTCGATGGGTCCCAGCAACCAGCATTCTTTAAAATATCATCTTTCGTGTTGAACAGAAGAAAGCAGCTCATAAAGGTTTAACATTTTTGGCTGATCTATCACTTATTTCTAAAATCGCTTTTCTCTCACAACTATTGTTCTATTCCTGTCTCTTTAATTACAGCAAGCACGACCATGACCTTCGACAATCATGAAGAACACACTCATTGCAGATTTGATAGCAGTTTTGCACAGAATGGAACATTTTTTTCTCATTTTTAAAAAAAGTGAAACAGTAAAGCAACATACATTTAGAGTAAATACATTTTTTAGTAAGACTTTAAATTCATAATTTAAATCATGAAAATTCACTTATTTTTTACTGTGTAATTCAATGTATTTATTTTCTAGACATACTGTATGTACTGGAATAAAAACCTGGACTACATTACTGTGTCATGAGGAGTTTTTTTTTAAATAAATAGGAGTTAAATAGGAGTTCATAAAACGAGGAGGCCATCTACTACTAGATCTGCACTGGTCTAAATAAAATAATAGCCAAGCCTCGTACTGATGTTTTTGCTGTGTATTTTTTCTCTCTCTCTCTCTCTTTTCAGCAGACACCGTGAAAACGTGTCCCAGACAATTCAGAAAAAAGAACTTTCGTTATAGCTTCTTTCTGCCACTATGTTAGTTTGAACCATAATGCAATGCTCCCACACTTCACTCAACTTAAACATGTGATCTGTAATATTCCAAAAGCAACTTTTTCTTTAAAAATCCCATAACTTCAAACATTTCAAGGGTGCACATTCTCTGCTTTGAAATTAAATGTCACATTCGTACATTCTGGCAAGTATTTTAAACAATAAATGCACTCAAATTAATATGAGTTTATAACAGAAACACAAATATACAAAACCTATAAACACAAAAATGTGTCTTTGACAATTACAACTTCTGTTTAATAAATAGTACATGAAATTAGTCTGAATAACTTTAAATAAAGCTGCATAATTTACAGAATTAGGTGGTGCGGTGGCTCAGTGGGTAGCGCTGTCTACTCACAGCAAGAAGGTCACTGGTTTGAGTCCCAGCTGGGTCAGTTGGCATTTCTATGTGGAGTTTGCATGTTCTCCCCGTGTTGGCGTGGGTTTCCTCTAGGTGCTCCGGTTACCCCCACAGTCCAAAGACATCCACTTTAGGTGAGTTGGGTAAGCTAAATTGGCCGTAGTGTGTGTGGATGAGACATATAAAACATATGCTGGATAAGTTGGTGGTTCATGCCGCTGTGGCGACCCCTGTTTAATGAAGGGATGAAAAGAAAATGAATGAATTTACTGAAATATTATTACAAATGTACAACTAAATTTTCACTCATGAATGTGAACTCTGCCATTATTTGCACACCTTCAATTTGTTCCTATGAGTTTCAGTTGAAAACAAAAGAGGAACGTAATCTTCTGTGTTTATCAGAATAAAGAAACTCACGCAGGTTTTGAGACAAGCAGAGTTATTACAGAGTAAATAATAAAGTATACATTACGTTTTACGAAGAGTGTTGCAGAATATTGAGCTGAAGTCTTCTTTAAAACATCAGGTTGTGATGGATGATTTTAGCTTACATTCGCTGAAAACTGAAACAGTATTACTGTCCTTGAAGACAAATTCTTTTCAGTTTGAGAAGGTGAACGTTGGCAGGATCTTTTAGTTTAGTCCTAATCATTAACTTTGGTAAGAATACCCCACTTAGTCTCTTTATATACTTTGATAGATTTATCTTCCAGCTTATTAAAGTGAGAGTATAGCATAAGGCTAAAGAGGCTATAGTGTATAGTCCTAATTTTACACTTGCTCTTATTTGAGAGACGTTCGGTATATTATGTAAATTGTATGAATACTCCCACTCGTGACTAAAGTGATTAGTTATGTATTTGTTCCACACTTCTTTATGGGATCTTTAGAAAATTACTGTTTAATTTTTAACTGCCCACTGAAACTGAACTAACAGATCACAGCTTGCTGTCCTTGTGAAATCTTAGTGTAATTGGTCAACAACTTTTAAAGTATATAGTAGTGTTTTAAAATATCACTGCATAAACAGCTCATTTGGATACTTTATATCATAAATTGTTAGTTCATTTCTGTCCTTCATAGATTAAATCTGTCTCTCATGGTCTGCTTGTTTCTCGATGATCATCAATGACCTTGTCAGTTTATTGCAAGGGCACGTTCACAACTGCACAATGGTTAGATATTAAGAAATGCCCTAAAGGCTTGTGTTTATGTGCATGTTGTGAGTTTACTGGATAAGACATGTCAGACCGAAGGGTTTGAAGGTCATTATTTGTAAGCACACACACATACACACACTTCATCTCCTCCCCATAGCTCTCGCTGATTTGCCATTCGCTCATCCAGTCAAAATTAAATTTACAAATCCGAGAGTTTAAGGAGCTCCCTGCAAACACTCAGAATCCTCTGTCACTTACAGTCTCACACAGATACAGGGGTGGAATTATCAGCTCTGACATATTTGAGATCCTGCAGCACATCAAAAAGATGGGAGTGGGTAAGTCTGATTCAACTTTATTCAACTTTTATTAATCAGCATTGAATGATGAAAACCTTTACCTCACAGCTTATGGAAACCAAAAATCTGCCATCGTGTATTGACAATGTCATTTCAGTAATTGTATCTTTCTCCCTTTTGTGGAACACAAAACAAGATCTTTTGACAAATATTGATCATTATAGTTTTTGTTGATGACAAATTTTCAATTTAGGGGGGGTGAACTATCAATTTCATAAATATTCAGATGTTTTTCAGAATTTCAAATAATAATCTAAGTTTAAAGTTAACATGATCATCTTACTCTCTTTCTCTAAAGAAAGTCCTGAGCATTCAGATGCTGATTTCACCTATGGTAAGAGTGCCTCACAGTTACTTACATTCCTTAATGAAAGTGATGATATATGGTATGCATGAAATGTGGTCATTACCTTTAAAGAGTTTGTGTTTTTTACATATGTTAAACATATTTAAGTGTTTTTTACTCATATTTTAAGAATTTAATGCTCAATTTCATGTGGATTTGTAGTATTGAGTCAAGTTATTTAATTACTTTTTGAGTAACTAGGTTACTTTCTAGGCAAAATAATTAGAAAAAAAAATTAAATACAATTGTAATAATGCAACTAGGGGTGTCACGGTGGCTCAGTGGTTAGCACTGTTGCCTCACAGCAAGAAAGTCACTGGTCCGAGTCCTGGCTGGGTCAGTTGGCATTTCTGTGTGGAGTTTGCACGTTCTCCCTGTGTTTGCGTGTGTTTCCCACTGTCTAAAGACATGCGATATAGGTGAATTGAATAAACTAAATTAGTCATAGTGTACGTGTGTGAATGTGAGAGTGAATGGGTGTTTCTCCATACTGGGTTGCAGATGGAAGGGAATTCGTTGTGTAAAACATATGCTGGATAAGTTGGCGGTTCATTCCGCTGTGGCGGCCCTTGATGAATAAAGGCACTAAGCTAAAGGAAAATGAATAATGCAACTAGTAATTGATAACTAATTACTTTTTTGAAGTAACTCACCCAAAACTGGTTGCAAATTAGTTTGTTTCCACCTTATTTTATAAAATTCAAGACAACTGCTGAACTTCCTAAACAAGTCTTTAGAAACACTTATGGACATCTTAACCATAACTATATCTCTGCTTATGTCAGATTATGAGTTAATCAGAAGAGGAGGACTGATCTTCGCAGCTGTTTTGTTCTGTTTGGGCATGGTTATCATATTCAGTAAGTTTACCATCCATGCAGTCTACAGCATCTCCTCTACATACATTATAATAAAGAATCGAAGCTTCCTTGGTTAACCAACTGTTATCTTCTTTTCTTACAGGCAAAAAACTCAGATGTGGAAAGTCCTCTGCTACGTGAGGCACATATATAAGACTTTTACAATAAAAGATACAGTAAAAGATAAAGCGCTCTCTCTCTTTCTCTCTTACCTCTTGATGTGTCTTCTGTGCAGGCATGAAGATAATGGTGATCTTTGACCTCTTCTTCGTTAACCTTCACTGTGAGCATTAACATACAGTGTTGCACTTTTAGCAGGAATATTTCCAGTCAGCAATACATCATGTTTTATGAATTACAGGCTTTAACTTTCTGTCAGGAGAGTGTTCTTAAATGACATTTAAAAGGTCATTGCCTTTCTTACTTCGCTAGACATTTGTCTCAGAAATTCTCAATAAAAATACAGATTCACAATGTAGAAGTGTATTATATTACAAAGAATAATGGACATATTTGCATTTATTCAATGACCACAACTGCCGTTTTCTTACTATGTTTCACGCAGGTATTGGGACACTTCAATATTTTCACCAAGGATGACAATATCTTTTTCACTTTTGGGTTTCAACTTACATCCATATATAGTCTGCTGAATACTGTAATTTTTTTAGTTCACAAGATCTGACACAATGTATGCAATCACAATAAAATGTTCAAAATGACTCATAAATTGCCCAGTCTGTGGAAATAATGTTATGATTATACAGTCCTACAAGATTATATTTTATTTTTAAAAGAATTGTATTAAATTCTTCTCATATATATATATATATATATATATATATATATATATATATATATATATATATATATATACAAATTTAAATTTGTTACAAATTTACAAATGAGAGAATTTTAGAGTTTATTTATTACTCCTATTTAAAGTTATTCTGACAGGAGTTTTTAAGTTACATGTATTCTGAAACACAGTATAAAAACTTAAGTTACATACAAGAACACTGATCAAAATTAGAGAACTCTTTCAGATGTCTCCCATTTATTGGTGTTTAACTGGCACATGTTGGTAATCTGACAAACCCTATTTAACTTGCAGTTTAATGTTTCACTGCCTTTTTGCAAGATGATGAGCTGTTCTCTACAGTGACTGCATCCTTCCAACAGCAGGTCGTCCAGATGAAGGCTGAAGCAATGACACTTTCAGCCACAACAAGAGAAGCTCAATGATTTCTAGAATATTGCAACTTTACACTGTCACTAACTCATTTAAGTCCCCCCAAAATGACTGGAAAGATATTAAAGATAAATGCTTGTGAGGACAAAAGGTCTCTGAGGGCTGTCGGATGAACGCTACAGCTGAAATTGCTCACGAGTTCAGCTCTGTACAGGGTAAGGATTTGTCTCTTCATAAACTGTGTCGACGTTTAGAGAATTTAGACTGAAGGCCCAGTCTGTTGACAGCAGGCCTGTAGCCAGGGGGGATTCGGGTGGTTCGAAAGACCCACTCCCACTGACAAAGGTTCAGAATTTTTCCAATACATGAGCTCATTTGTTCTATTTTGACTGCTAAGCCATCATAAATTGTGAAAATAACCCATAAAGGCTTTAAGACCAAGCAGAATCTGACGTAAGTAAAGTCATGTTTCACTTCTGACCTTCTGTATTGCTGTTACATAGAGAAAGCATTTTACAAGTAACCTTTATTCTTTATTTTATCCACCAAAAGTGGATCATTTTAAAGTTAATGTTAATACTAATCTGGCATATTGTTGTTAAATCATGAATTTTCAAATGTACTTTTTTTTTTTACAAGAAAGAATAGAAAAATCACCACACTCTATATTATTATTATTATTATTATTATTATTATTATCTTTTAATTGTTCCTTACTCAAATGGTGAAATTCTGAGAAAAGTTGAGTATGCTGCTCAGTTTGTTGTTGCCTAATAAACAACAATAGGGTACAGTTTTTTAATTTAAAACTTCAACCGATTTCATTTTTTCCCCTAATGATATATGTAATACATTTGTATTTTTTAAATAAGTATTTTTCTTTGTATTTCTTTATTCTAAATCTTTAGGAAATATTTTTAGTACAAGTGTGGTTATGTCGGTGACCATCAGACAAGCTAATCCAGCTAAAAATAGTGCTTAAAATGTCACTAAATGCAGTATTTAAACCTCGTAATTAAATAGAAAATTACTGCACAAGGTCCACTTTTTGTAAACAAAAAAAGAAAAGAAGAAGAAGCACCCATTTCACCAGGCTGACCACATGCTTGATATGTGAGAATGATGTCCTGTGGCTGCATATGTGCTGAAGTCATTAAAAAAAGGCCTCCACACTTAATTAATAGCCTAATAAAAAGTGTGTAGTTAATCTGTTACAGCTTTTGCTGTCCTCATTTTTTTTGTTTTCAAAATGTTTTTGTTGAAGTGCCTTGGCTGTTTCCAACCAAAACTGAAAATTTCACATAATGAACAGTGAAGATAATTGACAAGAGTGGATTTAACCAATAAGCGAGGTAAGCGGCCGCTTAGGGCCCCAGGACATCTGGGAGCCATCAATAAATATTGAGAAGTATAAATTATACCTATATAAACTATATATATTACACCGTTTTCTACCATATTTTGTATGGTGAGAGTTAAATACAATTTTAACGTAATTAAATATTATTCAATATACAACCAAATATATTCATTCATTCATTTTCTTGTCGGCTTAGTCCCTTTATCAATCCGGGGTTGCCACAGCGGAATGAACCGCCACAACCAAATATAATACTATTATAATAATGTAATGTTATGTAGTAATAATATATTTATTACAAAATAAAATATCCATCATAAAGCGCAGTCCAGCAGTCAGTTTATTAAAAAAATATATTATTTTTAGTTGTAAATTTATTTCAAGAAAACTAATTATTTAAAATATAGAGATTGCATTCATTTAACATGTTGAAAAGAAGATATAGTGATAAAAATACAGCAATAAAAATAAATATTAAAAAAGTAGGGTGCATTTCAAAACTTGGGCCCTATGGCTGGAATTGCTTAGGGCCCTAAAATCACTAAATCCGCCCCTGTATATTAAAGAGCATAAATTGTCTAATTTTGACCTCTACTCTAAAACAAATTATTTAATGAGTGTAAAATCTGGCAACGTGTTATTCCAGAGCACGTGACGCGCATTATATTTCCAGATACAGCTTCGCACAGTTATTTTTAGACTTGTGTATACGATCAGAATCATCTGCAACAACATCAATCACTGTGTCTGTGAAAGGATGCTGCTTCGCCTTTAGGTCGGCTCTGCGTCCGCGCGCGCGCGCTCCAGCTCGGCTCCTGTAATTGGCTCAGCGCTGTGCTGTTGTCCATGCGCCACTGGGCGAGTCTCGGCTGTCTCAGTAACCCTCCTTTATCCTCAAAAAAGGAGAGCGAAAGAGGGCAGACTCGGAGTTGGGCTCGGGCGGAGGGACCGCCATTATCGGGAGGCTTGGGCAACCACTTTCGCCCTCGCGCAGAATGTACACATCTTAGCATTTCAAAGACACGCGTGGTCCAGATTGCTCGTGATTTGGCAACGAAAAACTGGATGTTGGGTCTCAGTGTAAAGGCATCGCTGCATGCTGTCTGCACACGGCGAAATCAGCGTTTTATGGCCACAACAAAGGGCATTATAATTGATCAAATCCAACGTGCTTAGGCCGGAGGAAGAATTAAAAACAAGCCTTTTTCAACACGGAAACGACTGGCCTCCAAGAACGGACATTTCTTTGTTTGGATATGTTAGCCGTCGCTGGATTTCCACAGCCGTTTCTATGCGAACGCGAGATCTGTAAGTTGCGCCTGACAAAAATATCCCCTGGAAACTGCAAGTCTGTCAAGCCACAGTCAAAGAGCCCCCGGGGAATCTAACGTCCTCTGCTTTTTACCTAGTCTTTTGTTTGCTTTTATTTCTGGTTTCCAACAACATTGGCCGAGCCGGTGGTAAGCCCTCTCGCGGTGGCCTGGCCGAGGAAAGAGGGATTGAGCAGGGAGAAGAAGGACGTAGAAAGGCACTGGTATGTATGTATTCTCAGCGGGGTGTTTCAATAAAAACAACATTAATAAGCAAAGTAAAACGTGTCACCTGCCACTTTACAGTATTCCGTCGTTTAAGAAGCATATGAATCGACTATGTTTCAGTAAGCGGCGTTCGTAGTGCGGTGTGTGCAAATGCATAAAGTGAGGACTGTCTTTTGTGCAGGCAGCGCCTTGGCTGCATCGAAAACGGATTTAATCTGCACTCTTATAATCTTAGAATGTTGTAAGTTGGCAGCCCTGTTTTTTTCACGTGATGTGAACCTTGCTACTGAATTGCAGAGTATTTAATTGTAGTATATGCAACGTAGAGGAGTTGTTGTATTGTAAGTGTATATTCCCATTGAAATACATGGGGAAAATGTCTCAGACAGTAAAGTGCAATGTTTGTTGCAGAATCACACAGGCAGCTGAGACGCTTAGGAAGGCAATTCTGAAGTATGACATCTGCATTACGTAGATTTGACTATGTTGGGCCTACTTTAAAAAAAAAGTCTGTTGTTTTCTTTCTGTGGAGTTTTAACTTTAAGATGAGGATTTTGCTTTACTAATGTGTGTGCATCAAACTCTTAATTTTTCCAATAAACACACTGGACGTAATAGATTTTTTAAATGCAACAAGATGGCATAAGCCAGTACAGGGCTGTCAGATCATCAGGTTGTCTCTTGGTGTGTCAGCTGAAGGTGAGCCTAAACAGATGGTAGACTCTAATGTCATATAGCAAGCAGTCAAATGGCATTGTCACTTGCACCCATTTGCTCTGCACCCCGGCTTGGGATCTTTTAGTCTGGAGGAGCCCAAACTACGGCCTGCTGGCCAAACTTGGCTCATGTTAACCTTTGATTTGGTCTGCCATCCCATCTGAGAAGTGGAAGAATAATGGGGATGGTTTAGATATTGTCATTTCAAATCTAATGTACCCTTTTGTTTTATGATTAAAAGTTATCTGAAATTCAATGTTTCAATTAAATATTGAAAATTAATCGGATTTAGTTTACTGCTATATAGAGGACAATGCAGAGAGCTTGGTGAGCAAATCAAGTATGTATTCAGTATTGAACTCCATCATTCACCATGTTTTGTATTGCAATATTGCAATAAAATATATTAAAAGTTACTCTGCATTAGTTAATACGATTTAAATTCAAATTACATTTATTTTTAAGTATTATGAAATAAATTAGCAAATTAACCATGGCAACTTTTAATATAATGCAGTTTGGTATATTTACCTTCAGCCCACGGCTCATAATGATATTTGGTTTTTGGCCCTTTATATGAAAATGTTTGGGCACCCCTGTTCTAGTCTAAGCTTCATAGTTGCACAGGGTCTGTATTTGAGATGTTGAATTACACTGGGAAAATACAAATAAAAGAGTTTAAATTGCATACCTACTGTTGATTTTATTGATCTTAAATAGCGTATATGTATGTTAATGAAGTGTTTGGTCGAGCATCAAATAAACAAGATATTACAGTATTCTGCATTTTTTGCACCAAACTAAATAAGTGGGTTTGTTTTGATTGTTAGTAAAAACAAGATCTCTTGTTAAAAAAGATTATTTCTATTAAGTATTATGAAATAATATTCACTGAAGAGGTTTACAACTACCCT